CAGAAATGGGCCATTCTGCTTGATGAGTACCTTGACTTTGTGTGTTTAAGTATATTCTGATGGTAATACTTGTGTACTATTTACTTAAGTAACATTTTGAAGGCAGGAAGTCTAATTAGAAATTCACACTATGGTATTTGTACTTTCATTTAAGCACAAGATCTAAGAGGCGCATTCACACCGCAGTACTTTTCCCACAAAGGTTCATGAGAACTTAGTTCATGAGAACTCTTTAGTTCGCATGAACTAAGGACAGATCGCGTTCACACCGGAATAAGTCCCTGAGGGAAGATTAGGCAAATGAAGCCGCTGACGTCACTTCTTCTTCTTCTGCTTTGGGTTTACTGGCAGGCCGCAAACAACTTCACGGCGTATACTGCCACCCGAAGTCCCCGGAGTTGGGGACTGGCTTCAGTAGAAGCTGCTGGGAGTCCCAGCAGCTTCTACTGAAGCCTTCCGAGTAAATCGCCAGAACGCAGACACCTCCTCATCTCCACCGCTCTCATGTTTTATTGTGTGTTGCCATAAGTTAGTCTCTCTGCGTTTCTGCGCTGGGCTAATGCTAATGCTAATAATGCTAATGCTCGACTACTGCAATGGTGTCTTCACAGGTCTCACTAAAAAATCTATTAGGAAGCTGCAGCTAATTCAGAACGCTGCTGCTCGAGTCCTCACTGACACTAAGAAAGTGGATCACTCCTGTTCTGAAGTCTTTACACTGGCTTCCTGTGTGTCAAAGAATAGATTTCTAAATACTGCTGCTGGTTTATAAAGCACTGAATGGTTTAGGCCCAAAATACATTTCTGACCTCCTGCTAAATTATGAAGCATCCAGATCTCTCAGGTCTTCAGGGACTGGTCAGCTTTCTGTCCCCAGAGTCAGAACTAAACATGGAGAAGCAGCGTTCAGTTATTATGCTCCAAATATCTGGAACAAACTCCCAGAAACCTGCAGGTCCGCTGCAACTCTGACTACTTTTAAATCCAGGTTGAAGACTTTTCTTTTTGTCGCTGCTTTTAATTGAACTATTCATATCTTAAACTGCACTGTAACTTTTATCCATGTATTTTTTCTTTTAATGTTTATTTTATTAGCTTTTCTTTTTAATGACTGATTTTAAATGCCATTTTCTTAATGTCTTTCATTTTTTGTAAAGCACTTTGAATTGCCTTGTGTTGAAAAGTGCTATATAAATAAACTTGCCTTGCCTTGCCTTGCCTAATGCGAGGATAATAAAATGGCGGCTTCACAAAACTTTTTGGGAGTTTTACGGGGCGTGGTTTGCAATCCGCCCAGCCAATCAGACATAGGAACCTTTTTCTCCCACGAAAGTCCCTGCTCTCTAGCAGGGACGGAAAAGGGGGTAAAAAGGTTCTCATGAACTAATTTTAGTTCCGGCTCTTTTTGGTGTGAACGCAACATTTCGGAACTATATCGGAACTAAAGTGGGAAAGTACTGCGGTGTGAACGCGCCTAAGGACTTCACCTGTTTTTGAATACAGAAAAGTCTGTAGTGTACAGCAGTTTTAAGATAACGTTCAAATATAATATGTGATGTTGTCAAAAAAAATCGTTTTATCAATCCACTGCGATTCTAAAGTTCTGTAAAAGGAAATAGGAAATAGATCAGGGAGGGGTTAATACTTTGTGTATGCCTTTTATAGACACAGAGAGGAAGTGATGTTTAAGTGAGAGGTGTGAAAAAAATAACTATATGTCTACAGTAAAGTGTGTCACAGCTTGACTGTAAAGCTCAACAAAAGCACAAATTACATCAAATGTGAAACTTTAAGCTGCACTAACCAAAGGGGTATTAGACCAAGACTAAAATACTCTAAATTGAGACGTAATGCAAATTAAATAGCCTTCCTAAGCCCTGAGAAAAATACAAACCTTCATAAATTCACTATATTTAATACAAAGATTAATAATGGACATTGTTTGCAGTTTGAGGGGGTTTGGCTTTGGTTTTTGGAAATCTCTGTAACACTGGTGGCAATATGTCAATGCATCTTTACTAATATTAATGATGGCACCTTTCTCTTGAACCATCATTCATTTCTTACATGTGGGGATCTCGTCAAAGGTTAGCTTCTGTTAGAAATACCAAGAAACCGCTGTCTTTCTTTACTATTTATCTCAAAACATTGTGAACTTACGAGTCAGCTTTGATATTTTGTTCACTGAAGGTTATTACACATTTACACACAAACACTGACCTTTAAGTTATACCTGCGCCAAATATTATAGTCTACAGTGGAGAACTGAAAAAAAGAGCTGGTTGTAAAATGAATAGTGTTTCAAGGTAGATTTGCCACCAAATGTATGTTGTTACGTTACTGTCTTCAACAATAGTCTATGGTCAGTTAGCTTAAGAAAACGTTAGTTAGTTAACTAGCAAGTAGGCTAATTCAATGATAATAACTAACCATGTGAGCTAACTAACCAAAAGGCTAAGTCATATCCAGGTTAGATAACTAGCAAGTAGGCTAATTATTTAACAATAAATAACCATGTAGGCTAACTAGCAGGCAGGCTAATTCATTAACAATAAATAACCATGTTAGCTAACTAGCAAGTAGGCTAATTCATTAACAATAAATAACCATGTTAGCTAACTAGCAAGTAGGCTAATTCAATGATAATAACTAACCATGTGAGCTAACTAACCAAAAGGCTAAGTCATATCCAGGTTAGCTAACTAGCAAGTAGGCTAATTATTTAAAAATAAATAACCATGTAGGCTAACTAGCAGGCAGGCTAATTCATTAACAATAAATAACCATGTAGACTAACTAGCAACTAGGCGAAGTCCTTGATAATAAATAACCATGTTAGCTAACTAGCAAGTATGCTAATTTGTTAACAAAAAATAACCATGTTAGCTAACTAGAAAGTAGGCTAATTTGTTAACAAAAAATAACCATGTTAGCTAACTAGCAAGTAGGCTAAGTCGTTAACAATTAATACCCTTGTTAGCTAACTAGCAAGTATGCTAATTCATTAAAAAAACAATAACGCCATGTTAGCAAAGTCTATACAAAATTAATAACCATGTAAATTAAGAGCTAGTTGGGAAGTGAATAATGTAAAAAAGGGGAATTTGTCACTAAATGTATGATTTATATTGTCCTTAACTATGCCGTCAGTTGGCCGTAGCAATGAATATTCTGTTACTAACTAGCATATAGGCTAATTCATGTCAAGTCACAACTGAAATAAGGATCACTTACTTGCAGTCGGAGTGTATTGGTCTGTAGTAGAAAGCAGGAACCTTCTGCTCATATTTGGCCTTGGCTGCATTGTTTCCAGTGGAAGCGACTAACTGAAAAGGAGATTAAAAAAAACACAACCTGTTCATAAAAACACTTAATATGAATTTGAATGGAATATATGCAGTGCTTCTGCAATGCTGCATTAACATGTGAATGGAAAATGGGCTCAATTGATCAAATAGCATGTTTTAAAGTGGTTACTAGCCACAGTTTAAAGATATTTTATTCTAAAAATCCTCAAGTAAAAAAGTAAAATGTCTCCTTTGCGTTGTCAATAAAATCAGATTCATGAAAGAGGGGAACCACAGAAACATAATAAGGCTACTTACTAACATTGACCTTCCTTCAGTGTTCACAATACAGAAACATTACAAATATTGTGAATCTCATAACAGCCCTTACCACTATTATTGCAAAGTAAAATAAATCCTATTGTGTCTGTTAGACGAAAGTGTCTCCTCTAATTGCGGATGTTTTATTGAAGTGGGACCACAGCAGCTCCAGAAGTCTCAACAATAAAACTCCGACATTTCAAAACCACCTCCAAACTCTCCCTATATTACAATTACAGAAGGTGAGATTCAACACAACACATTCACACTTTATTAACCTTTTTTCCGAGCCTGCAATCAAATCTATTACTCTAACTAACACAACTAATACTCTTGCTTGTGTTAAGGTTTTACCCCGAAAACACCCACTACTCCTGTGTTATTTCTACATTTACCCTCACTAAACCTCACTCTCCCCTTAAGTCAAATCCCCTTAACATCCCAATTACTGTCCTCCCACACCTCCAACCCCCTGTTATGACTCGTGCCAGCATCACTTCCCCCAAAGTCCAATTTTGTCACCCAGTGGTGTTAAAGCGCTGACAAATCCATTCACGGCACAACTTCTCTGTACAAAGCAAAAAAAACAACACAATCTCAAAAATAAATATCTGTGTGTTATTTCCTGCTGACGTATTTCTGAAGCGGGCGAGTATTTTGCAAGCCACACACTTAGCTCAGCTTCTTCCTACACACCAGAGAATAAATGGTGTCACTAATGCAATGATCCTCTATTGACCCTGAATGATTTCCCTTCCAAAGAGAGGTCAGAGGTCAGGGTCAGCTGAAGAGCATTGATCATGAGCTGATAAGACTTGAAATGTCTTGCACATGGATGGACTGGAGATATGTTGAGGTATTACAATTTGAATTGTAGCCTCATGTACGCCTAGCATCCACACTATTTAGGCCTTTTTTCCGTCTGCGCTTAAAAATAATGTTTAAAAATAATGTTTAAAAATAATGTTTAAAAATAATGTTTAAAAATAATGTTTAAAAATATGCTACAGTCTCAGTTTAAGAATGAAAACGTAAGGGTCGCGTTTAAGACTGGCCGGCCGGAAACTGAGATTTTTTTGCTTGATGACCAACCACACACGCTTCTTCATTGTTTATCCCATCATATGACACGTCTTAAAGAATAGGAACCATCTTTGTTGACTACCTGCGTTATTCAACGTGGATACCAGATGCACAGCTGACCTTTTTTGTCCATGGTAGCAGCTGTAATGCAGTAAAATGTGCATGTCTAGGAGGTCTGTTTCTATTTTTGAAGCGATATATGACAATTCCTACATCCAGCGGTGTTATGCTTCCTGTTAACTTAAGCACATACTTGTCCATTGACGTTATTAGTTATATGATCTGTGTTTTCAGGCATGTTAGCATGGACAGAGATACATCTGAATATGGTTTTAAATTGCTCATTTGATTGGAGAAAACAGCATTTTAAAACAAAAACATATTAAACCTCTTCCCTAACCTACCAGCACAGTGCAGAATATAAACAGCAGGCAGTGTTTTAATGAGATCTGCACCTACTGTAAAACATAATAATAGTCCTCTTTGGCTTCATTGCAGTTTCCCCATCCTGCCCTTTTTCTGTCATATTGATGAAAAACGTCCCCCGACTAGGTTGTTTCCATAGAAACACAAAGATAATGGCACAGTTTGAGACTCTGTAGGCACCATGGGCTTCATACTTCATATTATTTGTATTTATTGCAATCATTTTTACAACATTCACATATTTAACACAACCAGTCTGCAGAATTAACAATTTGGACACAATTCACTATGTCTCTATATTTTTAGGCTACATGGAAAAACAACTAGAGCATTCTTAAAGGAATAGCACCAGCTTGTTTGGGATGTATAAGTATTTAATCCCACAAGGTAAATACAAAGGCAAGTATTGTTAATTTCCTGGAGTTTTGTTTATTGTTGAGTAAAAAAAAAGTATTTTGTGAAAATGTTTTGACCCAGACCAGCATCAAAAAAGGTGTTAAATGCAAAAGATTGAACAGGTGATTTGTTCCCACATGAATTGTCCTCGCTTTACACGTCAAACATAGTTAATGAACTTTGTGTTTTTCCAGATTTAGCCAATTCAATAATACATATAACCACAGCCTTAAAGGTGGGGTAGGTAATTTTGGAGGAACCAGCTCGAGTGCGCTAGAATTTGAAAATAAACAGCCGGAACAAATCTGCCACTTCCTCACAGAGCCCCGCCTCCAACACACACAAACGCGCACATGACCAATGAGGGCACGAGATAAGTTTGTGCCCAGATGGAAGGCTGACAGGCAGGTAGGCCATCCAGTTACTTTAGCCGGCTCAGATGATTGGTCGTGCTTTTTACAGCACCACTGCTTCCACAGATTATATTTTTTAATGGATATTTTGTCAAAGCACTTCAGATATTCATTGCTATCGGGATGTTAAGAGCATTCCATGGAATATAACAACAAGTGTATCTCGAGCCGGTTTCTCAGACTTACCTACCCCACCTTTAACTGTCAGTATGCTCGCAGGATGCTCATTGGTCCAAACTACTGTAGTTCAGAAACAAACACGTTAAGTCTGACAAGATAGATTTGTGTGTGGTATTGCGAGAATCCCGCTGCCATGAGCAAGATGTATTCAGGATTTTCGATCAATATATCTTTTGTAATGTGAGTATGTTTTGCCTCACCTCCACCTCATTGGCATCCCACGTTTCCTGGACAGATTTGACCCGGCTGATGTGAGGGATGCTGCGATGGAGGAGCGAACAGGCCTGGCACACAAACACACCGAGAGTCAGAGAGGCCCACTCCGGTTCTGCAGGAGAGAGAGAGGAAGAGGAAGATAGAAAGGGAGGAGGAAGGAGGGGATAAGCATGGAGGTGAAGGGGAGGGGAGCAGGAGAGAAGGGAGGAAATTAAATTCAGGCACAGCGGTACAGAAGGAGAGAAAGGTGGTGGAGTTGAAGACAATCTTGTCATAAAAAAGGAACAAAGAAAAGACACAGCTCGAGGTTCAGGATATAAATACTGAGAGTAAATGAAGCAGATATTACAGGGGACTCTGCGTGTCCCTGCTCGGCAGCAACATGGGATTTTTTGGGGGAAATCCTATTTAGATTAGTGACAGGAAGCAGAGCGCATGAGATCTGATCAGAAGTCCGCCTACGTAGTTATCAGGTTAGCTGCATCAACAGACTCACACACACACACATACACACATACCATGTATACATCACTTCAGGGGACATTACATTTACTTACATGCATTTCCTGGAGACTTATCTTAACCTTAACCATAACCAACACATGCCTAACCCTTAACCTAACCCTTAACCTAAACCTAACCAAGTCTTCACCCTAAAATTAATGATTCCCCTCATGGGGACCTCCAATTTGTCCCCATAAGGGAGGAGAGTCTACACGTGACTGTGTAAACAGATTTAGGTCCCCACAAGTATAGTAATGCTAGACCACACACACACACACACACACACACACATAATACTCATTTTTCATGCAGATATGGCAGAAAGGCTGTTTTCAGACTCTCAAATATGCAGATTTCCTGTTTTTATCTGCTTTGAATCAGAATAAACGGACTTTCTATGGGTTTTGGACTGACAACACACCCACGTTTGAACTTTGAGAAGCTGTAATGGACAGTTTTGAGAATTTCTGATATGTTACAGACCAAAAATTATACTGGCAGATTAATCGATCATGAGTTAAAGCCCTTTTGCCAACATGGGCATGGTACTAAACACACACATCGACTTCAGCTCCTATCATCCGTCAGTCAGATGATGTTTTTCTCTCCGCGGTGTGATCGATGAGCGGTGTCTTACGTGGGTGTTCAGTAAAGGTACATGTGAGTCACTGCATCACACACACTTTGATTCTGTCCATGCAAATGAAGTCAGAGACGTTTCAGGGAGCGTGACAGAGAGAGTGCGAGTGTTGAAAAACGGTGTGGATAGAGATAAACAGACTGTTTTTCATTTCTATTTTACAGAAAATGAATGGTCAATAACTCATTCCAGATTGCTTGTTGAAGTTTCTTTTGTTCATTCTGACTGACATAAACATGTAAGATCAATTCCTTTTGGAAACTTGTCTCAATGCACTCTGGGAAACTGTAAAAGAAAACGTTTCACAATTTTTCTGCAGATAAAACCATAATGTAAATCTTTTTTATTTGCATCCCTAAAGCCTATACCTAGATAACTGTATGTATATCAGGATCTACTCAGGATGTTGGAGTATGTGTGTGTGTGTGTGTGTGTGTGTGTGTGTGTGTGTGTGTGTGTGTGTGTGTGTGTGTGTGTGTGTGTGTGTGTGTGTGTGTGTGTGTGTGTGTGTGTGTGTGTGTGTATATACTGCACAGTGTATTCTCACACGTGTTAACATGCATTGTGTATGCATGGCCACAACCTACTGACAGACCTACTGCAACACTCAAAAGTCACCACATTCACTCCCTCTGCTGCGGCCATTTCTCACACGAGCCTGGTGCACACACACACACACACACACACACACACACACACACACACACACACACACACACACACACACACACACACACACACACACCAGACACACACGCTTGCACAGGGAGAGTGTGTAATGCTCTCGGGAATCATATGAGAGGCAAAGGAAAGAGAGAGAATGGAAGGAAAGTCTGGAGAAAGCAAAAAGATGGGAGTCGCCATTGAGGTAGCAGCAGGGAGGAGGAGATGGAGGATAAAGGAGGAAGATGATGAAGGTGATGGATGAGAAGAAAGGAGGAAGGTGATGGAGGAGGATAAAGGAGGAAGAGTGTGTGTTCTTTATCATGCAGAGAGGAGATGTGAGCGAATCCCCCAGGGAGTTACTGGCATCTATGATAATCTTCCCTCCATGTATCTCTTTTAACCCGCGACATTAGGGGATATTTATATAAAAGTCCTGGAGACGGCGCTTTGATGAGAACAAATCAAACCACTTGCCTGGTCTTTCTTTTTAATTCGTAACATGTCCTTTTTGTGCAATTACACACCTACACAGCAGCTGCCGCTGAGCAGTGAGGTCATCGCCGGCTGAGTCAGACCTTATGGAGAAGCACACAGCACTCATGGAGATTACTGTGTCCGCATGACTGAGTAACCACACACACACAAACACACACACACACACACACGCGCAGTGCTTCCTTCTCTACTGTACATGTTTCTCGACAGGATGACTGGGAACAACAGATGCCCAGTGGCAGTGAGCAAGAGGTGGAAACTCCTTAGTTAGTGTGACTCTGCTGGTTTGCTGAGTGTTAAAGAGCTCCGTCTCTGACAGGAGTTTTCATATCACTGCTAAGGTTGCAGAAAGTAAAGCCGTTAGAGGCGTTTCTGCGGGGGATACATAGACGAGGGGCATTTATACAGAACCAGCCCCTCTGCTTTTGGGCTTTCACACACTTTCTGCATCTGCAGCAGTTTATCTGATCGGACACACATCTGTCAGTGTGTCAGTGTTTGGGGTTAACGATGAGACGTTTGGGACGGCAGAGGTTTTGACCCCTCATGTTGCAGCTAAAGCCCCTCAGGCACTAACACAGGCTTTACTTCTGCAGCAGTGAAGACAGTAGGGTAACATATCAACAGTTCACTTCCCCAGTTGTTAACTTAGACTGTTTGTATTACAGGTGTTCAGAAAATATGTTTGAATATGGTAATCCGCATTATCTGTGCATAAAGGGACATTAATCTGAACATGTAATAACATTTTATTGCTGTCAAAGGTTTTTAGTGAATCTCTTTGTGTCACTTCATAAATAAAAAACATATTGTCAACAGCAATTCAATATTAAATCATTTTGCAATGTTTTTGGGAAATGTTTTTTATATAATTTAGGCTATTGATGATGAGCTAAGCCTAAACATATTGTCCGGCAGTGGCTCGGTCAGTAGGGGCTTGGACTGGGAGCCGTAGGGTCGCCGGTTCAAGTCCCCGACCTAGACCTAAATATGGAGTGTGGACTGCTACTTGGAGAGGTCCCAGTTCACCTCCTGCCCTGCCGTGGTGCCCTTGCGCAAGGAACCGGACACCCCCCTTCCCCCCCCACTCCCATTGCTCCCCGGGCGCTGCACACTAGCTGCCCACTGCTCCTAGTGCTAGACTCCTGGTGCTAGGATGGGTTCAAAGCAGAGAACATTTCACTGTGTGTGCTGAGTGCTCTGCATACGTGACCATTAAAGAGGGTTTCATCCCTTCTATTCTGTTCTAAAGAAGTGTATAGTATAATTTGTGTTGACTAAGGGCAACAATTAGACATGGTTTTCTAAATCCTCAGAAGATGATAGGTGCGTTTGGTTGCTATATTTCAAAGGTTCAACTCTGTAAATGTGCTATGGCTAAGAAACCTACGCCTACAATCGAAATCGATGTCGAATTTTCTGAGTAAACTGCAAATAAAACAAGACAACATAAGTTTTAAAGCTATGAGCCTCAAAATAAAGACTGAAACGGCATGCAGGAAACACATGACCAATTATATGAATGAATAGAGCTATTTATCTTTGTCAAGACACCGAGTTGAAATGGGAAAGGCAGAATACGTTTTCTCCAACTTATAGTCTTTAAAATCATTCACGCTACAGGAGCCTGAACTCCCCTCCTATCTCATCATAGTTCCAGCTGCTTTAGCTGTTTCCACAAACACCTTCCTCAAACCCCAGAGGAGGCTTTCCTCTGGAGGCAGAAACTCGTTTGTGTGTCCTTAGCAGAGGGCAGAGAAACGCTGCTGTATATAAACTCCTCTGTGAGCACCAGCACAGGAAAGATAGGGGAGAAAACTCAAAGGTAAGGAAGGGCAGAGGAAGAATGACTAAGCATTAAAAGCAGTGTTGCCACTTTGTGTGGTTTCAGACCAATTACAGCAGGCAGGCTGTCAGGTTAATGGATGTTGTATCTGAGGGGAAGATAGCACGGGGTGAGGCAGGACAGCCAGGTCACTGATGATGATGATGTCTTTACTCTGTAAGCCTGCAATAAAAAGGTTTTTTTGACAGAGTAGTGTAGGGGTGACACATTTTTGTACTACAACATGGAAGTTAGCATCGCAAGAGCTCCTATCCCTTTGTTCAGTAGGATCATCTCCACATAAACACCACTATTATAATAGTTGAAGCAAACGTTGGGCTATAAAGGAACTAGAGCACGGTCACATGACTTCACGTCACCACCGCTAAGCTAAAGGTGGCTAATGTTGGGCTATAAAGGAACTACAGCACGGTCACATGACTTCACGTCACCACCGCTAAGCTAAAGGAGGCTAATGTTGGGCTATAAAGGAACTATAGCACGGTCACATGACTTCACGTCACCACCGCTAAGCTAAAGGTGGCTAATGTTGGACTATAAAGGAACTACAGCACGGTCACATGACTTCACGTCACCACCACTAAGCTAAAGGAGGCTAACGTTGGGCTATAAAGGAACTACAGCACGGTCACATGACTTCACGTCACCACCTCTAAGCTAAAGGTGGCTAACGTTGGGCTATAAAGGAACTACAGCACGGTCACATGACTTCACGTCACCACCTCTAAGCTAAAGGTGGCTAACGTTGGGCTATAAAGGAACTACAGCACGGTCACATGACTTCACGTCACCACCGCTAAGCTAAAGGAGGCTAATGTTGGGCTATAAAGGAACTACAGCACGGTCACATGACTTCACGTCACCACCTCTAAGCTAAAGGTGGCTAACGTTGGGCGTGATGACATTCTCATTTAGACATTGGTTAGCAGTATCACTTTTGTAGTTGTAGCAAATCATGCCAGCAATCTAGTTTAACACATTTGATTAGGTAACTAAAGTCAATCTTGGCACAAGTAGACTTTGAGCTAGTCAATGATGTATATTCTTTACACTCAAAGAGTTGGATGTTCTCACCAAGATACTCGACTGAATTGTGAGCAGCTCGATCAGATATTAAAAATGAGCTTCTTGCCGACATTCAAACCAAAGCTTTTTGGCGAAGATGAAATGCAAAGGTACAATCAACAGAAGCACAATTGTCTTGTGTTTTACGCCCCTATTCCTCTAGAGACCCCTTTGCTTCATCAAGTTTAATGTTACTTAATATACTCACAGAAACTACAGTCATTCTTTCTTCAGGAAATGTGTTTTTTCTAGCCTGGATGTTACATCATTTCCACACAGCAACTTAAACAACCCAATAAGATTGAGAAACTATTTGACTGATAACCTTTACTGTTATTATCCCCAATTAAGGGCGACTGAAACATTTGTACGAACCATGACGTCTAAAATGAGCAATAAATAACTAATCCTATGTAATTGAGCAGCTACCTGTTACACCCTGTTTAACTCCTCTCTGACCCCCTCTTCTCTTGTTCAGAACATGTTTGCTCCGTGGAGATGGTTTGTGGTGTTCGGAGCTGTGATGTTTTTTCAGAAAAAGCCACAGCGATAAGATCCTGTCCCCATCTGCGAGGAGCCGCCTGCATCAATAATTCATATCACGACTATTATGAGACGTGAATTATGAGCTTGATCTGGTAGCCGAGGAATGGAGGAAGATGTGTTTTGTTGATGAATGGATATCCAAACACTGGACTCTGCTTTCCGGGAATTTCATGACATAAACCCAGCGTTAAAATGCAAATATGGGAGGAAGTTGAAGTTATATTGTAGATAATTTAGCAGCTTCACTAGCAGTTGTGTTGCTGTGGGAATCTGAGCACTTGTTGAGGGATCAACGAGCATTTATGTCCCTCTTCTCCCCAGCTGGGAGTTTCCTCAGTCACTCTACAATTACCAGCTTCTCTGATTATCCTGAATCTGCTGCACGACACCGAACATCTGTCCCACCTTTGCTCCAGCAAAACTCAATTTGATTATGTAACGATTGCAAAGGTGAAAGTGACTAGCCTGCCACGCAAAACGAATTAACAATCTCAGCGAGGGAACAATCAGACCCAATGTTCCCTCTGGGCAATGTGGACCGTTGCACAACAGTGTAGGTCAAATAAGGCCATAAGGGTATCTGGAAATGAGCCAATGTATCCCGGACAAGACGGAGAGTCTGCAGCTGTCTCTGGGAGGCTGTACCAAGACAAAGTGGTGCTGTTAGCTTAATGCTAACACAGCAACATGCTCCAAATGACAGGACTAACATGCTGATGTTTTGCAGGTTTAGTGTTTATCATTTTAGTTTAGCGCCTTAGCATGATAAACGTTAATTAGCATTAAACTCTGCTGAGGCTGGTGGGAATGTCACCAGTTTTTCTTATTATTTTCAATCCAATTTATCCCAAACAAGACTGAGAGGCTGCATCTGTCTCTGTGAAGCTTTTTAGACAATTTTGCCATTTTAGTGTAACCATAGGTATTATAATTCATCCTGTTGAGACCATGAACACCTATGGAAGCCCATTTCCACACATTTAAAGAAAACACTTAAAGGTGGGGTAATTCACTTCAGAAACACTTGTTGTTAAATTCCATGGAATGCTCTTAACATCCCGATAGCAATGAATACATTAAATGCTTTGACAATAAATACATTACAAAATATCATCCCTGGAAGCCGTAGCGCTGTAAAAAGCTCGACCAATCATCTGAGCCGGCCCGGCTAAAGTAACTGGACGGCCTACCTGCCTGTCAGCCTGCCATCTGTCCTCAAACTTATCTCGTGCCCTCATTGGTCATGTGCGCGTTCGTGTGTGTTGGAGGAGGGGCTCTGTGAGGAAGTCTGAAGGAAGGGGCAGATTATTTCCGGTTGCGTACTTTCAAATTCTAGCGCACTCGAGCTGGTTTCTCCATTCTTACCTACCTACCTTTAATGTGAGGCAATCTAATGAGAAACCCTCTTTGGATATTACCTAAGTATCTCAAATTATTGAGCAACCTATCTTTAAAAGGCCGTTGTATCTGAAAATAAGTTATTTTTAGATACTATGGCAGTATTTTGTGAGAGTTTTCTCATCGTTTTTGTATAAAAAGTAGTTATTTTGAGATACAATGTTATAATTTCAGGATAGTAAGTCAACATTTTGTTTTCATCATAAGTATTATAGTTGTCTCTTACTGGAGGAAATGGGCTTCCATAAATATCCGTACCATATTTCACGACAATCCATCCATGTTTTTGTCTAGAAATGTCACTCAGCACTCATTAGGGTACATCCTCTGGGAACCAAGAATGACACTGACATTTTGTGCAGATCCATTGATGGGATATTGTTAAGGTTAAATGAATACTTTAACCTGTAGCTTGTGGCACTAAAGAAACAATGATACAGACACTGAAGTCAGTCAGGTTTTGACAATTTGAACAATGAATGTCTTCAAAGCAATCCATCCAGCAGGTGTGTTAATATTGAGACAAAGTGTAAATGAACCAAGAGGTACTAAGACGCAAAAGGCCACATACAAATATCCAATAAATTAAATCTGCTCACAGCACCAACAATGTTAAGAGCCCATTTTCTGCCCACTTCTCAACAACATAACACCCTTTTGGTCAGGACAAAATCCCTCTCCAAGATCTCAGAACAAACCTATCTCATTTCTTTGTTCGAGTGCCTCTGGCTCCAAAATCTGCTCCCCAACAGCCAGTCCTCAGAGGAGCCGTAACCAGGGCCGAGGAACAGCATCCTGGGCAAACGGCCCGAACCGGAGCCTCTGTGGCCAATCACTGGTTTATTGCCATTTTCAGTGAGGAGAAAAAAGAAGAAAGGAGTGGGAGGAAGAGGAAGGGAGGAAGAGAGGATTAAAAGGGGGAAAGCATGGGAAGAGAGGATGGAGAAAAGCTGATAATGAAGAACAAATGGTGCCATTTAAATGAAAAACATGACATGTGCACACACCAATAATTACTGGTGCTGACAGCGAGAGTAGACCACAAGATAAGCTATCACACTGTGGACACACACACACACACACACACACACACACACACACACACACACACACACACACACACACACACACACACACACACACACAGGGGATAGTTGACATGTCTTTGTGCACCCTCACACACCATGACAGCCACATCGGAGTGTTTCATGTGTTTATGGCAGTCCAGAGTCCAGTCTCTTAGTTAGGACATATACATGAAAAAAAAATGCAGATTTTCCAAGTAGATCGACCTTTTTTCATCATTTCTGAACCAAATTCACTCACACTGGTCTGGTTTTGAAGCGCCAGTTTGCATGTTACCCCAACCTCTTACATGCATTACCTGCAGCTGCATGCACTGTCTCTATGCTGGACCCAGGAGAAGGGGTTTTTCGGGCGGAAGGCTTACCTGGATTGCCGCAGTCTGCACATGTCCCGTTCCCCGGTCTAACCAGCACGTCCTGCAGGAGCCGGTTGTTCCCCTCCGGTTCCTCCGCCATGCTGAGTCTATCCGTCCAGCAGCAGCCTCACCGCGGGGGGGGGAAAGAAGAAGAAGGACATCCGCTCCTGGAAGTCCGAGAGATGAGAGAAAGAAAGAGAGGCAGAAAGAGACAGCTCGATCACCTCCAATCTGACACAAGAGGAGGAGAAAGACTGCTGGAGGAAACCTCTCTGTCTGTTTAATAGTTCTATTACTGAGACTGCATTATAATCAAGCCACACGTTACCATCTCCTCATCCCGCCCTCCTTTACTGCCTGTCTGTCTCCTCTACCTTATCTTATAAGAGTGAGACATCCAGTGGTGGACTACCAGAACACATTTAATTAAATAGGCTCATTTTCAGTTTTTATTAGTATGTGTCTCTACTTTAAAGAGTCATCTCCTGCTGATGTCCAGGTGTATATCAGTATGTAGTGTCTCTACTTTAAAGAGTCCTCTCCTGCTGATGTTCAGGTGTATATCAGTATGTAGTGTCTCTACTTTAAAGAGTCCTCTCCTGCTGATGTTCAGGTGTATATCAGTATGTAGTGTCTCTACTTTAAAGAGTCATCTCCTGCTGATGTCCAGGTGTATATCAGTATGTAGTGTCTCTACTTTAAAGAGTCCTCTCCTGCTGATGTTCAGGTGTATATCAGTATGTAGTGTCTCTACTTTAAAGAGTCCTCTCCTGCTGATGTTCAGGTGTATATCAGTATGTAGTGTCTCTACTTTAAAGAGTCCTCTCCAGCTGATGTTCAGGTGTATATCAGTATGTAGTGTCTCTACTTTAAAGAGTCCTCTCCTGCTGATGTTCAGGTGTATATCAGTATAGAGTGTCTCTACTTTAAAGAGTCCTCTCCAGCTGATGTTCAGGTGTATATCAGTATGTAGTGTCTCTACTTTAAAGAGTCCTCTCCTGCTGATGTTCAGGTGTATATCAGTATGTAGTGTCTCTACTTTAAAGAGTCCTCTCCAGCTGATGTTCAGGTGTATATCAGTATGTAGTGTCTCTACTTTAAAGAGTCCTCTCCTGCTGATGTTCAGGTGTATATCAGTATGTAGTGTCTCTACTTTAAAGAGTTCTCTCCTGCTGATGTTCAGGTGTATATCAGTATGTAGTGTCTCTACTTTAAAGAGTCCTCTCCAGCTGATGTTCAGGTGTATATCAGTATGTAGTGTCTCTACTTTAAAGAGTCCTCTCCTGCTGATGTTCAGGTGTATATCAGTATGTAGTGTCTCTACTTTAAAGAGTCCACTCCTGCTGATTTTCAGGTGTATATCAGTATGTAGTGTCTCTACTTTAAAGAGTCCTCTCCTGCTGATGTTCAGGTGTATATCAGTATGTAGTGTCTCTACTTTAAAGAGTCCTCTCCTGCTGATGTTCAGGTGTATATCAGTATGTAGTGTCTCTACATGTCTCCATGCTTTAATGTTCAAAACGCTCTTTATTTTTCTCATACTGCCTGTGCTGCAGCACCTCTTTTCACCCTCTGTCTGAAACCAGAGCCCAGTCTGCTCTGATTGGTTCGCTGGCCTGCTCTGTTGTGATTGGTCAATCGCTTAGAGATGTGCCGCCCCTTAGCCTATCACCTACAATGTCTAGGAGCGCTATCCAATAGAAGTGCGAGTGTTACAGTGATGTCACTACGTGCTTTGCAGACAATTTACATGCACAAAATCCTATATAACACACTACAGCGAAATGGGAAAACACCCCATATGGCATAATAGCGACTCTATAAAAGACACATTATCTCTACACTTGGTATGTCTTCAAATCCTCATCAATAAATCAATTGCATAAGAGGAAAGACATAGGGATAATTATTAAAGGACCCTATGTTATTTTACAGTAGGGTATTATAATCATGCATTATATTATATCAAGTGTAGTAGGTCAGACAGGAGGTGTAGGGTTGTCACCTGTCCCTGAATTATAGCCTAGTACTTTTTATTAGTTTGTTTATTTTGCATATTCAATAAAAAGACTTAGTAGGCCTAAGTTGAAGATAACAATTATTTTCTCTCAGGATGTTCTGCATTTAATTGTAATTTAAAGTAATTCATAATAGTATTAATACTATTTTTGGAAGTATTCCAGACATTACATAGAATTTTAAATGATTAAAAGTTTAATGTATTTCTTGTGGCGAGTGTTTGCTTCTTTAAGGATTTAATCGAAAACCTACTCCATCATCGATGCGATCCAATCGACTGCTACTGTCTGTGTGTGTGCAGAGACGACCCATTACGTCATATTCACGAGACAACAGGGTCACGTTATTCTGTTGCTGTTTTTACAATAATCTTCAACAAAGCTTGTTTTAAAAGCTTTTAAAAAATGTCTGCGATGAATTTCGGGTCGAAGAGTTTCAAGCCTCGCGCTCCTGATAAAGGCGCGTTTCCTATTGATCATTTCGGTGAGAAAAAACACAACATGTTCTGTAAACCCACAGTTAAAATGACGATGTAGTCTAAATTCATTATGCACTCAGAGCTAATGCATGTTTTGCAAAAGAGTCATGAGTTTACGCAGAGCCAGACGTTGTTCAGAAGTCCTTTTAGTCCATTGTACTTTGATTATACAACGCATTCATCTCTGACGCTGGAGGTTAATGCATAAAAGCTAATGGCTCATTTATGATACTGCCAATATGTGTCTGTAGTGTATTTCTATATATTCCTGTAGCTTAGCGACACTGTGAGTATTCAATATCTTCGTTATATAGTGTATTAATTAGATACTCTATTCATATATGTCCTTTCTAATGTGAATTTGTACTTACTTGCTGCTAGTGTTCATTGTATTTGTCTTATATTTATATATTATTGTATCTTTTACATGTGTTTAACTCGTGTAATGGTTGACTACACTGCTCCTAGGACAATATCATTTCCCAATTTGGACTTAAATTAAATATCAGACTGTCAAGATTCAAGATGCAAGGCTTTTATTGTCATGTGTGCATAGCTGCAGTGTAGGTATATCAATGAAAATCTGAGGTCACAGGCTCCTCCAACACGATACAATAGTTTAAATAGTGCAAGTAAATACAAATAAAATAGGATACGCTATCCTTTCCTAATTTAAAGGCAGAGTTTAGATTGTTTTAAGAGCGGTTCAATTAGTTCCTTACCTGTCAAGAGTAGATTAAGGTCGACACAATCCAAGCTTGGAGAAATAGCCATTAGTACGGAATGTGCCGTATTGTTTCAGGAGTCAAGGAGACGTTTATGAAATGCCTCAGAGATCAGGAAGCACTACGCTATAATCGATGATGTTCTGTCCCTGCATCGATGCAGAATCGTCCACGTCCGCATCACGATGCATCGTAGAAACGATTCATTTCAACACCCCTAGTCAAGAGTAGATTAAGGTCGACACAAATCCATCAATTCTCCAGTGCACCCTGCGGTTAGAAGGCAGAACGACGCAGAAAACACATGAAGAAACAGATTTATTTATCATAGCACCTATAACGAGTGCTTCACAAGTAAGAACAAACGTTAAAATGAAGACCACAGAGACATGAATACAATAACAACACGAGGCAGACATTTTTAAGGTCAACATAAAAACAAAACGCAGACCACGTGGAGTCCTGAAAGGAACACACATAAGAACAGGACACACCACTAGGGATGGGTATCGCCTGAAATGTATCGATTCCGGTTCTTATCGATTCCCCGTTTCGATTCCAAAATTGTAAAAGAAAGAGGTCAAACGTTTAGATAACAAAAATATCTTTATTTTTTTAAGCTTTAACTGACATTTTTACAAATAAAAAATATACATGCAATACAAATGTATTGCACAATAGCTGTGCTGTATTTGAACTGAGCTATGCCTGTGGCCAGCTATTAACAGGCATTACACTGTGCCTTGTCTTTTTCTTTCTTAGTGTAGTGGAGCCTCACTTCAGAGCGTTTACCGCGACCCATCTTTGGTGTTATGAAGTGACTGAGCTCGTGAACTACGGGAGGGCGGGGGGAGCCTCGCTGCGGGGCAACTGTGGACCTCTGTCGCCGCAACTTACATGATGCCGTTTAAAAATATGAAGGGCGGTGCCGTGCCGTCAACGGCCCGCTGACGACCGGCCGTTCTGTGATTCTCCAGAACACACAGATGGCCGGACCTCCCTTACCCTGGCTGTGTTCCATCGGGTCACCGCGGCGCAGACGGACCCGGTGGAATACAGGGTCTACCGCGTTTAGGAACCGTTAAGCAGAACCGAAATTGTGTATTTTGTATGGGTACCCGGTACCCGGCATTTTCTTATCGGTTCTCATCTGGAACCGAGTTTCGGTTCCCAACCCTACACACCACACACATAGACTGGACACACACACCACACACATAGACTGGACACACCACACACATAGACTGGACACACACACCACACACATAGACTGGACACACACACCACACACATAGACTGGACACACACACCACACACATAGACTGGACACACACACCACACGCATAGACTGGACACACACACCACAAACATAGACTGGACACACACACCACACACATAGACTGGACACACACACCACACACATAGACTGGACACACACACCACACACATAGACTGGACACACATACCACACACATAGACTGGACACACACACCACACACATAGACTGGACACACACACCACACACATAGACTGGACACACCACACACATAGACGGGTCCAAAACTCAGACGCCCGTATCATTACCAGAACTCCTTCCATTGATCGTATCACTCCGGTTCTTCAACAACTCCATTGGCTCCCCGTTAAATACCGCATCGACTTCAACATGTTGCTCCTCACCTTCACACTCTTGCCTCACCTCCATATCTCTCTGAACTCCTTCACACCTACCCTCCCTCTCGTGCTCTCCGATCCTTCTGCCCGCCGGACCACCATGGGGTCACGAGCCTTCAGCCACTCTGCCACAAGACATCCGCAATATGGACTCACTCTCAACCTTCAAATCCTGCCTGAAAACCCACCTTTTTAAACTGGCCTATTCAACATCTTAAGTCCTCTAAACTGATTGTTGTTTTTAAGTCTTTAAGTCTTACTGTGTGATCTTCTTTGTTTTCTTGTTTTTAATGATGCTCTGTAAGGTGTCCTTGAGAGCTTTGAAAGGCGCCCATAAATAAAATGCTTTATTATTATTATAGAAAGGAATAGACACACTTGATAATCTGACATGAAGTAAATGTGACGACTGACAAGCTTCTCTCTGAATGTGCCGTATTGTTTCAGGAGAGTGTAAAATCTTCAAGGAGACGTTTATGAAATGCCTCAGAGACAACAGCTTCGACAACTCCAAGTGCCGACTGCAGTCCAAAGACTACCTGGAGTGCCGCATGGAAAAGTAATGAAACAAGACACCTCTTTGTAATCCTCACATTTTACTCAAGACTATATTTTACTGTTTTTCTTTTTTATAGTATAGAATTGTTTTCATAAAAAACGTATGAAGTATAGTATATCAAATATATAAGATTAAACGACATATGTCATACATACGTATGTTGAAAATATAAAATAAAACAACATTTTATGCCATGGAAAAATGTCGGGGTATAAATATTGGGTCATATAAACTATGAAGTTAGAAATGAATTAAAATGAAGATGAACATATATACATATTGGGTCATATATACATATTGGGTCATATATACATATTGGGTCATATATACATATTGGGTCATATATACATATTAGATATATTCACATGGGTGTGTGGAAACAGTGTGTATTTGTGTACAGTTATTGTTTCACATTGTTGACCCCATGTTGTGCAGCCTGATGGGGAGGCGTGTGGCGCAGTGGGTTAGTGCGCTGATCTTCGAATCAGAGGATAGCAAGTTCGAGTCCCACAGGACAATTTGTCTATTAAAGGAAAGACAAATACCCTACCCCATTAGGTCATGGTCACAATAGTTTTCTATCTGTGTTTTTAATTGTTGTTTGACTTTTATGTTAAATTCCTCGTACGTGTCAACCTACCTGGTGATGAACCTGATTTCTTTCTAACTTTGTCCTTTTCATCGTGTGTTTTCCAGTCAGCTGATGGCCAAGGAGCCAATGGAGAAACTGGGCTTCAAAAACCTGATAGACCCTCCTCCCAGCCAATCAGACGGAGACACTAAACCATGACCTGCTGAAGCATATTAAATGCAGTGTGAAGCTGAGAAGATTTCAAAGACTTTAAGAGTGCAAGAGGAGACTTGCCGTGGTTTGCCTTGTGGTCTCAGTTTGGTACGGAGAACAAACACAATGAATCGTCTGTGTACATAGAATATAATGTATAATATATGGAGATGCTGTTTTGGCATTCTAATAAAGCTTTTGTATTTAAATTAAACTGCACTCGAGTATTTAATGGTCTGGATGGCGACATCTGCTGGTAACGTGTTGCAACTGCATCTGTATGGATGGATGTAATCAATGATAAGTATAAGTAAGCGTTCCTACTGCTTCTATTTGTATTTTCTTCACACAAGTGAAATGCAAAAATACATTTCATGATGGAAACATGTTACCCTGTTCACCTCACATTTCAAATATGTGAGAAACATGTATTTAGCCTTTTTTTATATCAAAATCCATCTTAATCTTGCTGTTAAACGTAAAATATATATGGCAAAAAATCGTTTTGTGGAGAAATAAAGTTCATCTGAAGAAAACTCCAAACATGGGAAAATGAAATATGCCATAAGAATAGTTTCACAGAAAGAAAATGAGAATATGAAAGCACATGGAAAACAATGGAAACATATTTACTACGTGCTTTTCATCCGTTTCAGACACACACAGTGAGACCGATGCTCAATGCTCCTCCCTGAAAAGATAGAAGAAAGTAGATACCCAATTATATAAGTGGCTTATTTGAAACAGAAAGACAAACATGTGTTTTCACATTTGAAACATTTAACTTTATTGTCACTTTAAATCCCACTCAGCCAGTTATACAAAACAACACTTGTTAGGAGACACAAATAAATAAAGTACAACTAAAAGCAAACGCATCTGGATCAGAACGTCATTCAAATCAGGTGGGAATAAATCATGATTATCTCAATGTGCTATTAAAACAAACACACACACACACACACACACACACACACACACACACACACACACACACACACACACACACACACACAACTATAACATTTACAAATGTTTTACTATTCACCTGTTTTTATGCACATTTTAAACAAACATTTACATAAAAGGTTATCCTTATATAGTATTTAAAACTTCTAGAAGATTGATTCAACACAAATTGGACAACACAAATATTAAATATGAGACTTTGACAACACGCAAAAGAAGATTAGTGACTTTATATTATCATATGATTAACATAACACTCTTAAACTGATTAATAAGCAGGTAATCTGAGTGCATAGAGACCTTATATTAGCTCATAATGTTGAATAATTTCACATACACGTCTTTAAACCAAAAATAACTGTACTTAGTGTGACTCTGACGTTATTGGGCAATACATAAAACAATATTTTGACTGAATAAAACGTTTTTTCTTACATATTTTCATCCTGTGTCAGTCGCATAGAGATCACGTCGTGTTTGGGGCTGTGTGAACCAATCAGAAGCCTGAACTTGCATAGGCAGTAAGGAGGAACTGGATCCCTCAACTCTGACTGTCAGGCTAATATTTCCCTTTTAGATCGCTGTATAGCCCGTTTTTATCTCTGCTTAATGTTTAATATTTATAGTTAAACGCCAATACCTTGCTATAATACAGGTATAGAAGTATCCAGTTGGTTTGGTGTTGCTATTTTCGGGATTTCTTTGGCTTGGTCGTGCGGAAAGAAAATGCCTGAGAGGTCAAACAAGGTAAAAATAGTGCTTGACAAAAAATGAACAACGTTTTTCTGCCAAGGAAATCTAGACCTTTATCTTGGTTACATACTTACTCTAAATAGCATGCTTGTTCAACACTAACGTTATACATTAAGCTGGAGCTAACTGTAGTTTTAAGAGACTGTAGGATCCACACGTTTGTGTTTCCTGAGAGACACAACCATGCCTCAAATGGACCCAAAAGGTGAGCCAGAAGAAACCATTAGACCCTCAATTGGAGGTGACGATGGTGGTGGTGGAGCCACAATCCTTGCTTTGACCATTTGCTCTGCAGCCATTGGAGGAACTTTCCAATATGGCTACAACATCTCCATTATCAACGCTCCTACCAGCTACATCCAGACCTTCATCAACGACACCTACATGGAGCGATGGGGCTATGGTTTGGAAAGTTCTCAGCTCACCTTAATGTGGACCATCATCGTTTCAACCTTTTCCCTCGGGGGTTTGATCGGAGCCCTTCTCGCCGGTCCTCTTTCGGTCCGATTTGGCAGGAAGAACTCTCTGCTTCTAAACAACGGTTTCCTGTTCGCTGGCGCTGTTCTCGTGCTCACTTCCAGGGTGGCGAAATCCTTCGAGATGATCATCTTCGCTCGCTTCCTAGTGGGGATTAACTCAGGCGTCAGTATGAACATACAGCCTATGTATTTTGGGGAAAGCGCACCCAAACATCTCAGGGGTGCTGTGGCTTTTTCCTCGGCTGTTTTCACTGCGTTTGGGATCTTCCTGGGTCAAGTTGTGGGTCTCACTGAAGTTCTGGGTGCACAACATCTTTGGCCTTATTTACTAGCTAGTAACGCTTTGCCAGGGTTGATCCAACTTCTCACCTTACCATGGTTTCCAGAAAGCCCTAGGTACCTTCTCATCGACCGAGGAGACAAGGACGCTTGTGTCAAGGCGCTTGGAAGGCTTCGAGGTGGCATAGCTCCCATTTTAGAGGTGGAAGAGATGCTTGAGGAGCAGGAGCAGCAAAAAACGGCCGCCTTGAACTCTGGATCGTCTGCCAACAAGACGCCTTGGACTCTGTTTAAAGATGCAAGCCTTCGATCTCAGCTCAGGACTGTCATGGCGGCCAGTAGCGCCATGATGCTCTGCGGCAATGACTCTATCTACTTCTATGCTTACTACATGTTCCTCGCAGCGGGGATACCTCCACAGAAGATCCAATACATCACCATCGGCACGGGGGCGTCCGAGTTTACTGCGTCTATCCTGAGCAACCTGCTGATCGAAAGAGTTGGACGTAGATACCTTCTTATTGGAGGGTACAGTTTGATGTCTTTCTGGAGCGTAGTTTTCACAGTTGCTCTGAACCTCCAGAGTCGAGGTGTTGCTGGGATGGCGTACCTCAGCATGGCTTGTGTTTTCGCCTATATCCTCAGTTTTGGTTTGGGTCCTGCAGGCGTTTCGGGGATCCTACCGGCCGAGATCTTTGACCAATCGGCTCGTCCGGCTGCTTACATGGTTGCCGGGTCTTGCATGTGGGTCAGTTTGTTTTTGGTGGGCATGCTGTTCCCGTTTATCGTCAAAGGGTTGGGGGATTTCTGTTTCCTGCCGTTCTTTGTCGTTTGTGTGACCTCCGCTGTGTTTTTGGGAATCACTTTACCAGAGACTAAAGGAAAGACACTGGCAGAGATCACGGCAGATTTTGATGGAAGGAATGGAAAGCAGAAAGAGTATTCAGACGTGGAAATTGATGAACCCATGAAGGAGCAGTACCAACTGGGTAAAGCTGCCTCTCTTACTAACCTAATGCTGGATCCTGATAGTAATCCTGACCTGGAGAGTATACAGCCTCAAGTGAATGTGTAAAAGAACTGCCTTTGTTGCCTACTTATGCACTTTTAGTGTTAACTGAAATCAGAAGTGTCCTATTTATGCTGTGTTTTTATTTATGTGGTAAATCTTTGGAAAGGCAAGTTTATTTATATAGCACCTTTCAACACAAGGCAATTCAAAGTGCTTTACAAAAAACGAAAGACATTAAGAAAATGGCATTTAAAATCAGTAAAAAGAAAAGATAATAAAATAAACATTAAAAGAAAAAATACATGGTTAAAAGTTACAGTGCCCTTTAAGATGTGAATAGTTCAATTAAAAGCAGCGACAAAAAGAAAAGTCTTAGTCTGGATTTAAAAGTAGTCAGAGTTGCAGCGGACCTGCAGGTTTCTGGGAGTTTGTTCCAGATATTTGGAGCATAATAACTAGGGGCAGGGCCGCCCCTGGCCAACTTGGGGCCCCAAGCGACATTGTGAGATGAGCCCCCCCCCCCCCTAACCGACAGGAGTGAAACTATTTTTTTTGGAAACAAAGTAGGCTGCTTTGCAAATATAATTCCTGTTTATTATTATTATTATTATCAACACAGTTACTTTTGTATACAGTGAGGTAAAAGGTAAATGTGCATGTATGTCCTTCAGTATGCGTTAACACGTGCATGTATGTCGTTCAGTATGCGTTAACAGGTGCATGTATGTCGTTCAGTATGTGTTAACAGGTGCATGTATGTCGTTCAGTATGCGTTAACAGGTGCATGTATGTCCTTCAGTATGCGTTTACAGGTGAATACGTCTGCATTTCCTGCCAAATACTAGCCTCAAAAAGATTAAAATAGAATTAATGCAAATAAACTACTTCTACTAATAATCATAATCATAATCATAATCAATTCAATAATATAAATACTATATTATTTTATTATAATATAGTTGTAATATAGTATAAGACAAAACATGCTTATGGCATGCTCAAAAACTGATATTTCTTAAATCTGTATTCTAGTTCCCTCTGTCAGCAATGTATCAACAACTACACACACATTTCTATCAGTATTTCTCTGTGTTGTGGTTGACATGATGATGACTGTTAGGAGTTAAGGGGAGAGGCTGAGCGTCACCATGATGATGACTGTTAGGAGTTAAGGGGAGAGGCTGAGCGTCACCATGAAATGTGCAAATTGACATAAAAATTAATAAAAGGGGGAAAAATGCTCCATGTTTTTTAGGCTGTAACCTTTAACTGTTATGTAAGCCAACTAGACAGACAGTGTATCACTCTTCCTCCTGTACATTAGCAGATAAAAGGCATCACATACTTGAATGAATGGTAAATAAAGAATGCTGGAAATAACTGCATCTCCATTAGCCTCTATGCTCTGCAGAGACTGCCTTCTTCATGTCCTGAATTGCAGCTGATGTTTTAATATGGCAATTGGCAATTTTACTTATACAACATTCGTAAGTTGTACATTTGACTCATACAATAACCCACCTTCGAGTGATGCTCTAGTTTCTTCATGTTTTGTTTTTTTCCCCTCTTGCTTGTGCCGGACTGAAACGGTCTTTTCACCGACATCTCTTCACCTGCACTAGTGGCCGTATCAAAGCCGTGATTGGTCGGATGTCGATTCATTGCAATGGAGAGGCGAAGTCACGCCCATCTACTTCCGGACCATGGGACCCCGGAAGCGAAAAATTTACATTGAATTCAATGGAGAGAGAACACATATATTTTGATCCCGTTTGAATTGTGCCACGAACTACACATATGATGTTTGTCAATCTTAAACAATCATTTCCATGTCAAAAAAGTCACATTTTGTCGTAAAACTGCTGAAATATAAGACTATGAAAAATACGATACTACAAAGACTACAAATCCCAAATCCCATTCTGTGTCGCGTAAGTGATGTCACAGGCATGCTCGGTGATTTATAATAAGACTCGTAATTAAAGCGAAGAAGAAGAAGATCTCATAACTGATTTATTCCCTCCAATAAATTATAGATCGCTAAAAATACATTCACTTTTACAAGATGCCTGTGTGCTTTGTACCAGGTTGAAGTCATAAAAGTGATCATACCACTTGCTCCTTCTATCGATTCCCGTCTGATGAAAGGACCAGGAGTCGCTGGATCAGACATATCAGGTAATATCATAGGTAATATACATGTTGTGCATGTTCATGTGCATAGTCAAGTTAGCTACCTAGCTAGTAGCGACGAGTAGCGAGCACGTTAGTTAGCATTACATTACTTAGCCTTGTCATTTTTAGTAGCCTTACCATTAAGTTATTATTTTATTACATGAAGTAAACCAAAATGTTAAACAGTAACCAAACATGATGGTAAGTATTTCGTGAAACATTTGAAGAGTAGCCTACTGCGCCCTCCACCGGGTGCTAAGGAAGCAGTTCAGGGAGAGTCGAAGGCAGGCATGGAGCTTTGCATGACATTCTTCTGGACGTGTTTCATTGTGATGACAATCTGTTTGTTGGAAAGACAGTCGTTGTGTGCTTATTGAGAGAAAATTGTTAGAAGAGATAATTATTCAAAGTGTTGTTACTTTAAAGTGTTGTTACTGACCTTTTTCTCTTTTATTTTCTTTACCTCACCTGTAACTGCTGAGACGTTGAGGAACATGCACACTGACCTGCTCTGGCAACCTGATTTCCACTGTACGTAATAGTATTTGGTTATGGTATATTATTTATATACATCAAAGGCACAATGCACCCCCCAGAGACACACATGTATTGAGTGTGATATTTTGCATAGGTCATGTGAAATCATCTTTACATACTAGAAAACTGTAGGAGCGGCAACTTGTTTTGAAATTGAATTTTTAATATCTGATAATAAAGTTGATCTGTTTTCTTTATTCTTCTCTCTTCCCAGCTCCATCACCATTCTCTGTTCCTGCAGGTCCTGCTTGCTAATCAATGCTCATATTTTTTTACACAATTACAAATAAAGTCATTGTATTGTTTGACATGAAGTTGTGCTTCATTCGGAGTCAATAATAAATTCATTCTGCCTTCAACTGCGCAATGATTGTGGACTGCACCGACATCCATGTAGCTGCCCCCCAGTAAGATGAACCAAGCAAAGAGGGTCACCATCATGCCCAAGGACATCCAGCTGGCCCGCCGCATCCGCGGAGAGAGGGCTTAGACTGACCTGAGACCAGCACACCCAAACACAACAGCTCTTTTAAGAGCGACCTACATTTTCAAAGAGTTGCAATCCTACGTTATTATAATGATTAAACTGGTTCATGTATCACTTAGTTTACTGAACCGTGATGAATGAAAGTGAAATGAGTGAGGTAGTGGTTTACTGAAGTTACAAAGACATTAATATATGAGTAACAGGTCAGTGTAAACACAAGCTTCTGTCAATTATGGATCATTCAAACTATTTATATAAAAATATGTAATAAAGTTCTAAAACAAGTATTCGGTATATTCCTTGATAGCTTTTGGAGAAGGTTGTTTTTAAGTTTACTAAAATATATCGTTTCAACTGTTTCACTTTATAAAAAAGGAACAGGTGAGTAGAGCATCATTGAGTTTCTTATTCTGTCAGTAAATTATCCAAATGAATGTTTTTCATTATTTTAGTCAACCCTAAACAAATTGATTGTACCTTTTAATGATGACCTTACATGGTCGGCAAAGTTAAATTAACTTCAGAAAATCAAATCTGTTCTGAGAAAAAACGAATACATGTTTAAAGATAGGAACTTGCCATCCCACTGAAAAACAGTCCGTAGAGATTTAAAGGCGTAGTTGTAGTTCAGTCCAACGTTTCATTTGGATTCATTTGACAACAGTCAACTATTTTCATAAAGAATATATATATTTTTCAAAGTCAACTTTATTGTCAATCTTACTCAGTTTGAGAGATCAAAAAGACGTTTAAATAAAATTATACAATTTACAGATATGTATACAAATATATATATCCTATATACACCATCATGTATAATGATGGTGTATGATGTAGAAGGAAGTGTGGTAGATAACAAGTAAATATAGAGTTACATACAGATCCATGTTACAGCAAAAGATGGAATAACTAAGAAGCACGCAGTATAATAATAATTACATGCAACAATTAAATAACTGCTCAGCATCTCCACCACAATCCCAATCTGCTGTGTCCTGTTTTCCTCCCCTCTGCATAACACCCCATCACACATACGAAACACAACGCAGAGTCCGAGGGTGTTAAGAGTATGTTTATTGAAATGTCCTCCTCTCTACTGGCCAACACAGGGAGCATATGCTGGGTGTAGAATTGTTCCAGGAGGAGGAGATTTCCATGCCATGCAGGGTCTTTGGGGATGGGGATGATGATCGCCTCCTTCGTGGTCCACACAACAAAGTAGCAGAGACTCCGGTCTGTGATGTGCAGCTGCCCTTGGACTGGTGCAAGTATGGGTGATTCTCCTTGAGAATATATGACCCACCCTCCTCACGGAGACAGAAGGATGGTAACTGGACTGCCTCCATGATGGTCATGTTCCTCTGGCTGTGTGGACACTTCACCTCCAGCAGGGCAGATGGCTGCACAAGTCCATCGGGTGATGCTCCCAAAACACCCGACTCACTCACAAAGAGACCAGACTCGATTCGAACACTGTCACTTGATAGGCCTCCACAAAAGCCTCCACAAAAGCCTTCACCCCTTCGGCCTCGTTTACAACCCCCCAGTTGACAGTTGGCGATGTCTCTGGCCAGTGGGTTGTATGTCTCCTCTCGCTGTTGGTAAAGTTGAGACACCGGCTGGACTACTTTGGAAGTGCCAGGCTTCCTCCACTGGCACTCAACATCTGTGGAGCTGATCTGCCACATGGCAAATATTGCCAATGCTGCAGCGTGGCTGCATTTGTACATCCCCTGTGCACAATCACAGACAGCGCTCTGCATCGCGCCATCGTCTCCCATGCAGATCTGTAAAAATAAAGTAAATACCATTTGTTAGCATGCTATAATAGATTGAATGAGCAATAATACAAGGATGGTCCGGATCTGGGGGTGGGAGGGTTTATTTTTCCATAGTTTTGTCCTCTTGTCTGTTGTTATTGTTTGTTTTTTCTGTATTTTTTGTAATTTGTGTTGTATTGGTTGTGATTGTACATTGTATTTTTCTAAATGTGTATGAATACATTTTTGAAAAACATTTGATCAACAATAAAAAAGGATTTGGTCAGGATCTAGACTCAGTGTGTAGTTTATTAATTAATCAATGCTCTCTACATTAGGAAAACACATACCAGTGTACCAGAGGGAGTCACACACAGCTGTGCCTAG